AAACTGTAGATGGAAGCGAGGGCTGGGCGCCCATCCGCATCGTGGTGTCCGCGAGGGACTTGGAGGACCCGCTGAAGCACTGCAGCGCAGCGGGGGAGACGCGCATGGCCGGGGATGGCCGCCGAGTAACCTGCGAGGTGGAGGATGTGTTGGGGGAAAACAAGAAGGACATTATTTTGCGGCAAATCCTCCCCGCGGCAATTAAGCTGCACGCCGAGCGTCTCTCCGTGAAGCCGGTGAAGGGTCTCATCCGCATGCCGGAGTACGGTCTAGGGATTTGCGAAAGGTTTACTATTCCTGCCTGGCATCGCAGGACCGGCGTGAGCGACGCCGATCTGCTGCTCTACGTCAACGCCCTTCCGACTGTGGGCGCGGTTGCGTGGGCGACTGCGTGCGCCTGGCTGGTGGATGGACGCCCGTATGCTGGCGCCGTGAACTTCGAGCCCCGGTCCACAAAGGCCGATCAGGAATCTGTCCGTACTGCAGCCCACGAGATTGGGCACGTTCTTGGGTTTGCATTGGAAGAATTTTTGAAGTTTCGCATGGTGTCGCAGGTCCCCAGTGGGCCCGGGAAGGATATGGCGTGGGTGGTTACCTCGCCTACGGTGAAGGCGCTGGCGCGGAAGTACTACAACTGCCCCACACTTGAGGGCATGAAGCTGGAGGACGCGCGGTGTGCGGGGTGTGCGGGGTCGCATTGGAAGCAACTCTACACAAAGGAGGAGGTGATGGCTACTGTGGGTCAGCCGGGTTATTACTCGGCACTGACGCTTGCGGCGTTTGAGGACATGGGCGGCGTGTACAGGGCTAACTTCAGCATGGCGGAGCCGATGAGGTGGGGCAACAACTCCGGCTGCGGGCTGCTGGAAAAGAAGTGCCTGAGCAGCGGCCACACCGACTACCCTGACATTTTCTGCAAACAGTTTTGGTATGACAAGAAGCTGCTCTGTACGCATGACCGCCTGTCTCTGGGGAATTGCGACCTCGGGCTATACAATCAACCCTTTCCGCCGCAGTATCAGTACTTCGAGGGCCCCAGGCTTGGCGGCGGGGTGGCCTTTATGGAGTACTGCCCGCACGTTACTGGGCGTGCGGAGTATGGGTGCACCAACGGCAATGCTCGTGCGATGGTTGGCAGCTTCATTGGCCCCAACTCCCGCTGCGTGAAGGGGAATGACCTTAAAGTGAGCGGAAAACCCATTGGCGATGTGTGCGTGAACACTCAGTGCGACGGCGGCAAGCTGAAGGTGCAGTTCCGTCGCGACGCAACGTGGCACGAGTGCGAGGAGGGCAAAACTGTTAAGCCACAAGGGGCGCACTGGAGCGGGAGTATTGTGTGCCCCAAGTACGCCGACGTATGCGACGCCCTCCCCAACATCAGCGCCTACCCAATACCGGTGGTTGCGCCGCCGCTGACAGAAGCTCCACCGGCCGCAGAGGACACAGAACCGGTTGAAGGGGAGAATGGCGACGCGGAGGTCAGCCCTGCCGGACCCGGCGGCGAAGCGTTGACGCAGGACGCCGCCGTCGCACACAGTGCCGGCACGGATCGCGGCGGCAGCAGCAAAGCTTCTGAGGCTGAGGGTCCGTCTGCAACGAGTTCGTCGGGCAAGGCGGAAGACGGCGTTGACGTTGCCACGGGGCTACCGAATGCGGCAAAAGGCAGTGAAGAAGAGCGAGGCGGTGCGGAAGGTCCAACGACGACTGAACCCAACAGTGACTCGACAAACCCCGCGCAGTCCACTGCCGGCGCCCGGCCGCCCGAGAGCGAAGGGCAGACGCAAGGGGCGGCGGCGGCGCAGAGCAGTGGCCAACCCGACGCTGTGCCGCCGCTGCGCGGAGGTGAGAGCGGTGGAGGGTCCCTAACCCCGGCGGAGGGACGCGGGGCAGCCGCCGCCGAGGCGCAGCAGCAGGGCGGGGCGGCGGGCCCCAGCACCGCGACTGAGAGCGCCGCGCCTACCGCGCGGGCCGATGCGTCCGAAGTCGCTCCTGCGGCCACCAACGGTGCTGTCGCCCCCCGCT